GGTGCTTTTAGTCAATGTTGTCTATTCTTTGTCTTCCCATTCTCACTCTCATGCTTCTTGTAGGGTGACTGATATGAAGACCTGGAAAAATGTTTTCATTATAGTTTGGAGAGTTTTCAGCTGACAGTTTTTCAAAAACGTTGCTTTTGGAATTTTTGGCAGTGTTTAAGTTTGGGTGTTTTTATAATAATCATTGGAAAGTTTTATAGATCAGGTCTCATATTCAGAAACAAAAAAAAAATCAGAAGGTGAGAACTCAATCATCCAAGTTTTTCAAAACCTGGTTAGCAAATGTATATGTGATTGACATTGATGTAAATGGCAAACAGGAGATCTACATGAATGCCAGTTAAATTTTGAATGGCCAAGACACTAGATCATGAGCACTGACCACAGCTGCTTGTCTGTGAAGCTGAACGCTGAGTGCCCTTTAAATATTTAACTTGGGTTATTTCATTGCATTAATCCTTTCTCAGACATAATTAAACAGGTGATGAAAACCAAATTGTAAATAACATAGCTGTCCCTTGTGTTGGAAAGAATAATGCTCGGTGGTATTCATTCACATAAGTAGTGGGAAACTGATTCATGTAGTTCCTATGCTTGAATAGCTTAATATATCAGTTGTTGTGGCTCATCATTAAAATCATGGAAATGACAGTGTGCTTTTAAAATCCTAAATAGCAAGATATGCTTTGATAGAATGAGGCCAGCTCATAAAATCAAAAGCATAACATAATAAATAAAATTCCAGAAACCTGAGCATGTCTACTACAGCTTTGCCCTCCTTCTGACTGTGGTGTTGATGTTGGCAGGCAGTGGGCTGTGATCGACAACTTGGGAGCAATGCCAAGGAAGACAACTGTGGAGTCTGTGCAGGAGATGGTTCAACATGCAGGCTTGTGAGGGGACAAGCTAAGGCACATGTCTCACCAGAAAAAAGTAGGTTGCAAATTGATCCTGTGGTGATTTATCCTTGACTGTTTTCTGCTTGTATATTAACATACATATTGCAGAGTGTTGACCTTTTAACCATATACTTGTTTGCAGTTTTCCAAAGCTACTTATTCTAAAGTCTGTGCTAGATTAGTCTATTGAAATTCCATGAGGGATACCACACATTAGGGTATAGCTAGGAAAGAATTTGAGATATGCATTTTTTTATAGAGCTACTCAATTCATTCTATCAGGAATAACCATCAAGATGCACATCTTATTTTAGGGGGTATCCTCATGTTGCAATATATGTGATGTTGCAGCAATGTTTTTAAATCATGGAAACATCTTATAGATGGTTTTATGGAAATTGCGGCCCATGATTGAAAGTGCCTGGTTTTCAACTTAACTGCTCTTTTTTTTGTTGTTTTTTTTAACATGTCTAAAACCAGTTGAGCTTCAGAGGCAAGTTAACTACTTGTATGGTGCAAAAAGCTCAAGGTGAAAGGCAATAATACTTTCTTCTCTTTTTTGTGCATTTGTCTCAAATTTTGCCATTCTTTCTCAAAATAATGAGCATCTTACTGTGAGTAACTCTGTAGGTCTCAGTAGTACTGAAAATATGAGAGAGGAGGGGTATCAGAATTAGACCCTTTACTGGAGTCTTAAGAGTCTGGCTATTTTGATATTCAGGCAAGGTTTGTCACATAGAGGCTCATCTCTGACACTTGTGCTTTCCACCTTCACAGATGATCCTCTCTGTGATCTCAGAGTATAAGTGTCGTGTGTTTATCATGTGAGATAGTTTTGCTGTTTCTGAACTCACAATGTGCATTTGTCACATGGAGATGGAGCCTTTAGGGTTTGTTACCTTCCTGCAGAGCCACAAGATGCAAGGGCAATGAGCTGGCACTCTTAGATTAAAGTCAATACTCAAAGTTCAAATCCAAGCAGGTTTGTGGGTTTTTTGTTTTTTGTTTTTTTTTTAAATGGATGAAGCACCTGCCTTTGACAGCTACATATATCTTAGTGCTGTTGTAGTTCAGCCTGCGAAAATTCACTTGTGCCCTGATTTTGAAAAAGCTGTTGTGTCATGCTTAATTCTTATTGCTGTACATGTAAATATTTCCATGTTTGGTTTTTATTTTAATGCCATCGCTTGCAGTATGCTTCAGTGTGGATGTAACTTGAAGTGCAATATATGTTATCTTTATGCTTGTTACCTTGCAGTGTGATTACTTGTATTGATCTACAAGGTTTCATGTTAGGTTATCTTACATTGTGCAGGTACATAATTTCTGTAATTCAATACATATGTATAACAAAGGTAATCTAAATTTTAACAGTGAGTATTTTTGTGGCAGCCTCTTTTAAAGTCAAAGAATAATTTTGCATGTGTCAAAGAGCCTTTTTTTATGTACCGGATGGGGTCTCAGTGTCAGCCTTTGCCTTGCCTTTACTAGAGGCCTTTTTCATGGATGGGAGAACGTAGTTCAGTAATTTATAAAGTTTTTCATCTTGAAACACTGCACAAATATCTTGAATGTTTACATTGAGTTGAAAAAGAATTTTCATGGAGGGCCGCTTTTTATTCACTTTGTCATATCAAATACTCAGAGCTTCTGGTCAGCACAGAGCAAGCACTGGTGAAGCAGTAAAGACTGGATAATATTTTTGTAGTATTACCAAGTTGTATTTGTTTTCTATAGATAGATATATAGTGATATATATATATATATATACAAAATATCCCTTCCCATTTCTGATGTGGAGGTCAGTTGGAACAGAAAGGAATTGCATTGTCTATTCCAGTTTTACAGCAACCGAGATTCTCCTGGAGAAGAACAATTCCTGGGGACACCCTAGCTAGTTCTAAGGCAATGCAAATTAAGTTGTTGGATTGGCCAATCTGGCTGTATAGTTCATGATAAGTGAAATAAAAAGATTCACGTTTAGTTGCTGCTTAGTTTGTAAGTACAGTAAAGACAAAGTGGTAAAAGGGATCTGGCTTTGAAACTGTCATTTTGCGACAGAAAATATTTATTTCATCTCTGGTATTCTGGCACAGGTAAGAGCTGACTACAGCTGATATCACTTGGTGGAAGGTCTCCCATGGCCTTAACCAGGTTATGAAGAATACCTGTGGTTCATTTTTTTTTCTGTCATAATTCAGTGCCTATTGTAGAGTTCTATAAATTAAAGATGAAGCAAGACTATTCTGGGGAAAGATGTCAGTTATGTCAAGTTTTGGTTTCATCTTGCACTGCAGTAGGCTAGATAATATGAATGAATTACCATTCACATAAGCAAAACAGTACACATACTACTAAACTCAGAATTTTTGGTGTTTTCCTTGGTATTGTCATAGTGCCAAAGTATTTTTTGAGTCAAGTTGTTCAACACTATGGAAGCAGTTCCATATAATCATCCTCTGTGTGAATGAAATGTGGAAATAAAGCCATGCTTTCTTTAAGCTAATGTATCAGTGATGGGAGACACAATATCTTCCAAGCAGTCATTTGGAAGATTTCAGAACTAGTGTTGAGAAGTAAAATATCGACACATGACAGACACGTATTTAAGAGGGAGTTTGTAAGGTTGTGAGCAGGATGTAAATTTTATTGTGCAATGAGGCAAATTAAAGTATTGGAAGGAAAGCAAGAGCCAAAGATTTTATTACGAAAAAAAAGAGACATACAGGGAAACAAAAGTGCCTAGTTATCTTGGTTCTTATTTAAAAAAAAAAGACATTTAGGCATTGATAGTAAATGATTTCTCATAAAGGACTCACTTTGCTTTGTTATCTTTTTAATATGTTTTTACATAAAACAAATGCCTTTGATTGGAAAGCTAAACAGCACTGAAAGAAAGCGTACTGTTTTGCAAATATGAAACGAACTGTCATTTCAAAAGTTCTTTATTTTTTCCACTAACACTTAATTGGCTTTGAAAGACAAAGTAAGTTAGACTTCTGCCAGCAAGCCAGATTTTACATTCTGGTAAAATGATTAAAGGTTTGACTAATGATATTCAAACAAAAAGTGTAATAGGTTGTAAAATGTACCATCCCGTTGGGAAATGAGATATCATGGGCCTGATGTTTCTAGTACTATATGCATGGAACTCCCATTAACTCCACTGCACTTCGTGCGCATGGAAAAATTGTAGGATTGGGCCCTGATGTCTGCTTTCTGCACCATTATTGGCAAGGAATGGTAGGAAAGTGTTCTGGTTCTGATACCAAGGAAGAAGAAAAGATGCTGGTTCTGAAATTAATGGGGAGTGAAGTCGAAGGCACAGATTTGTCCTAATCTGGTCTTATTTGTTTCCCAAACTGTTTGATACTTGCAAGTTTTACCTTTCTTAACTTTCTTCCTAAAAGGTTTCAATGTCCATAGCTTTGTAACTGGTTGAATTTCTTCTTGCCATGCATTTTATTTCCTATGGCACTTGTGTAATTTACCATTGGTCACTTATTGTCACGTTTGTATGTCATCATCCCCAAGCACACTTAACCAAAAACCTAATTTCACTTTAGTCATTTACTTAAAGAGAGGCCTTCTGCAAGGCTCCCTGTTCAGCATCATCAGCTGGCTCAGAGCTGTGACAACTTGCTACCTTGCATCTTTTTCCCCTCATTTGAAATCAATATACATGGAGCTAGTAACCCCCATTGTCAAGGTTGCCTGATACTTCACTTTATATGAATGATTTTTTGCCAAAATTCAACAGCTGGGTCAGAAACTTTCCATGCCAGGTGCTGAATGTTTTGGAGAAAATTCAGCCAAAACAACTCAGCATATTCCAAGGACACAGCAGAGAAAAACATGTTGTTTCCCACTGTCAAAACATTCCTGAAACCTTTTCTTTAATATGTCTTAACATCCCCTATTGTTGGACTTGATCACGGATCAGGGATTTGAAATTTGGCAGGCACTGGTCTTCTGGTCATGGATAAGTCTTTTGCAATATCTGTGAACATCGACACATATTTTACTACAACCCTTAAAAAAAAAAAAACAACAACCACCCCCAACATTTTCCCTCAGGCTTTGTAGAGGCTTCTTGGATGTTTATAGCTGACACTTCTGAAAACTTGTCCTTTTAAGTGTGCTCTAGCTTGTTACATGTCCTAACAGCAAACAGATCATATGTGTGCAATCTCCTTAAAATAAATTAACACGTGGCTCTTCCAGAGCTAAGCTATTAAAAAGTGTCCTTGAGGTTGCTCTTGCTTTCTACTTTGCTGCAGTGTAGAATGGGTACCATGGGATGAACTCTGTCATACCTCCTGCCTCGTGTTCAGGCATTACAGAAGAGACTTTGTGGAGAGCTTCTGACTCTCCTAAGCTTCAGACTTTTGACTGGGGGTGGTGAGATCACATGAGGAGAGGGAAAGACAAGATGAGACTAGCTGAACAGAAAAATTTGACATTAGTTCATACAGTGAAGGAAAGACAGATATGAGAAGGTGGGAGGAGGACCTAGGACTGGCTGTACAGTTACATTGGGTCAAGGAAAAAGAGGAAGACTGAGATTAGATAAAGAATTTAGGGTGGGAGATGGAGTCAGAAATACTCAAGGAGGAAGGGGAAAAATCAACAGTATATAAAGCCAGGAGAGGGAATTGGGACTGGTTTGGCAGGAAAACTGTGTGTGTGTAGGGACAGAATGCCAATACATTAGCATTTCAGTTTGGATAAGGAGTATGGTTTTTGAAGCAAATTTCATCATGGTCCTAACATACCGTTCATCAGTTCACATCATGGAGTGGTCTTGGAGAGCATAAACTGGATTTTTTCGGATTAAGCTAAACTGGAAGATGTGCCCCAGAAAAGCACTTAATGTTCTTCAACAGCTACTGAATATGCAGTCCGTGGGATTGGACTAGAGTTAGTCTGAAGTGAAGCACCTGCAGTGTATGTAGTGTGGATGCTGGGTCTTCAGTACCAACTGTTTCAGTCTACAAATCCGTTTAGTTTGGTTGGTTTACTTGGGGCTGTTATAAGTAGTATGAAGCCTCCTTCTTTATTTTCTTGATCTCTCTTGTCTTACTTGCAGAAATTCCTGTGTAAGAACATTGGTTATTTCATTATTTATTTCACACTGCATTTCCTTGAGATCCATTTTCTTGATGGGCTGCTTACTGTGTGTCTTTGTACATTTTCTCCAGTGCATAGAAATTTTAGAAGAGGTGTCCAGAAGTAGAAAGAAGTATGTAACTAAAATGAGTGGAAGCGACACTGTTTATCTCAAAAGCAGGTTACCACACCTTAGAAATATTTACTCAACAATGTAGAAAAGTGGAACTCAGATGAAGAGGCAGCTTTGAGTCATAAGAGCAGTGGACAGAGGGATGGAGGTACAGAGGAGTGGGAGAGTGTGAGACTAGAGAGGTAAGGACTCAAGGATAAGAAGGATGTGCCCATACAGATTTTGCAATGTGACTTTTAGGGTCAAGACATATAACTGTTGCTTTCAGTAGCACATACATCTAGTTCAGATGTCTCTTAAAGAGTATATATTTGGCTTTGCACAGAGTCTTGTCATTAGGTAGGTCAGCACATACCCCAGCACCCATGTCTTCTGAAATTATGGCTGATGAGAGTGGATGAGGGAAGCCACTGCAACAGGACTCCAAACATTTTGAGCTGTTTAGTTCCCTTGTGCTGGTAGTTGTTCCTGGACTATTGTTCTTTGTCTTTTGAGAGCACAAAGGCCTTTGATCAGAACTGGAGGACCAGCAGATAAGTGCTGAGCAAATACATGGAAAGAAACAGTTTTTATAGGCCTGAAATAAACCCTCTGCCCTGCTGTAAGAGGAGAGAGGGGAAAATCCCAACTGGCCCATATGTGAAACAGTAAATGGGTCCACCATGGCCCACATGGAAAAATAAATAAAACCTGCTGAATTGGATTGAGCTCAGGAATGTGGCTCCTTTATTTTGATCCTGGGGATTACCTCCCAGTCTTACCATAGCAGGGAGTCTGATCTTACTCTCATTGAAATCCAAAATCTAAATCCACATTAACACCATAGAAACAGGATCAAACCTTGCCATCTAAAGTAAAAGCAATCCGGGAGCTTAATCAGCAAGTGCTGTGGGTAGTGTGTGCGCAAACATTTGCTGGGAGAGTCCCTGGGTAAGAGCAGACAGCCCATTTCAAGCAGGTGCTGGAGAAAGATGACCCACATGCCCTGGCGAATCCCTACAGTGGAAGCAGTGTTAGAATACAGAGACAATATCTCACCTGTTTCTCAGTTTTTAAGGTGAGCTTTACGACTCAAAAATGAGAGTTTACAGTCTAGTGTTTCTGCACGTTCCAGATCATTTTGGGCTTATTTCTCTTCAGCTTTAGACAAAGGTCAGCAGTTGACTTTCAAATATACATGAATACTATAAGGGGGAAAAATATAATTGGAAATTCTAAGTATAGATTTCAGGGTAGCAATTTCCCCTTAAGTTTTCATAATGATTTAATGCGAAATGTACAGCATAACCTTTTTTAAACGGGTTTACAGGACCTTGTGTTCCTTTAAGAATATGAATGATATGCTTCAACTGAGAACCAGAGACCTTAGGAATATATAGTTTTGGAGCCAGTCCTGGACAACCATAACTACTGTTTCGTAGGAAGTTAAAGCTGTCCTCTGAAGAAGGTGGAATCCCTTAGGTCAGCCCTGTCCCATTTTCTTCCACTTCCCCATCAGTTCAGAACTCAAAAAATCTCACTTTTATTTTTTCCTATAATTTACTTCATCTCATGGAAAGATGGCCCTAGGTCATAATTATTTCAGTCAAGTTACAAGAATCTCCTGCTGTCAGACTTCTTGACATGTCTGTGGGGCTGCAGAAGTTGAACATTGCTGTGGTGGTGAACTTAGTCATCTCCTCTAATGCAAATAAAATACTTTCTGGTAATATTGTCTCCGCTGCAGAGAAACACCAAATTTAGCACCCCCATGAGACTTTTGGACCATATCAGAGAGTGCTTCGGTGAGGGTGGAATGTCTGTAGTAGTGCTAAAGGAATGTGAAGCATCCTGAAAAGGGATCAACAAGGCCTGCCGAGGAGAGGGGATCTTGCTGTAAGGAGGTGGAGGAAGCACAGCAGAAAGACCCTGGTTGTTCTTAAGAGGAGCAGTCCTACACATCTCTGCACATCTGCAAATCTGGGCCTCGTCTGTTCAGTGCAGAGTGCCCTTGGTTCCACTTCAAAACAGCAGTTGCATGTATTCGGAACTGGTCACAATGAGACTCTTATTTGAGGTTTTGTGCTGTAACTGCTGGTTGGTTGTCAAGACGGGATGCAATTCCTGACCAAGGAGGGAGAGATGGGCCCCTCAAACCTGCTTTCTCTCAAATACTGTAGAGCACATATGAATTCAGTAGTTATTTCCTTACTTTAAAGATATACACATCCACTACCTTCTGGCTATCTTTAGCAATTCGCCTGATGAAAAACCAAGATGCAGAAAGATATTAAGTGGTTCAGTAGTTAATGTTTTTTCCAGGGCTCCTTAACTGTATTATTGTTCTTACTGTAGTATTTTGCACTCTGGTGGAATACCCAAGTATGAAATTAATAAAGATCATATTTTATTACATCCAAAATAAATTGTTATATTTAAATGACCTTCCTAGAAATTGGCGATATAAAAACTGAAACATAAGAAGGTGTTTATTTCAGAAAAAAATAATTGCAGTATTTGCTTGAAGTATCCTGAACATTTGGCAGGATTTCATACTTATGCTAAGGAGATGTAAACCAGAAGCTGATAATTTAGCATCTACTATAAAAGGGTCCGGTTTAAAGTGGAAAGAAAGATTCTTCAACTATTTTTTTGTTAAAACTAAACTAAGCTATTCTTCCTCTGAATATTAGTATGAGTAATTCTGGAGCCAATGCATCACTGACCTTCAACTCACATTACTTTTTGAATTTGTGAAAATGAACTTCCTCTACACTAGCCCCTAGATATATGTTAATGCCATCACTGAACAGAGCACCCTCTGCGGGGTGTAGCTGCAATGGGCCCGTGTTTGCAGGTTCCTGCCTCAGAGAAGATTTGCATTTGGGCCTTTATGAAGATGGGAGATAGCACATTAGTGCTTTTTTGCTCGGACACTTCTCTTGTCCTTTTGTAGATATCCCTGTTGTGCGCTGTGTGTACCCTTTTCTGAGAGCACTGCTCTTGTTGGCCTGAAAGACTCTGGTCTATTGGTTTGACTGTTAACTCAGTTTGCTTGGGCAAATCACAGATTTCCTACAGTTGAAATGGAAAGTAATAAATTTCTGCCTTTGTAAAATGCACTGAAGTAAGTGTGTTGTACATTTATATATGAAGAGGCCATTCAGGCAGCCAAAAGCTGGTTTGTATTGACATGTCCTACTCAGGGCTGGTTTGGTTTATAGTTAATTTTAAATTGAGGCTCTTACTGGAAGGAATGATCTTACATGGTAAGTTAGATGCAGGCACTCTGTTGTAACATATATATTATAGCTAATATATATTTGCTCTTAACTGGTCTGTAATTGGTTAAGGGTTAGTGTTAAGTAGATGATTTATTTCCTGTAAGTCCTGCCACTTATTAAAGTTGTGACCTGCAGCAGGAAATGAGGTGTGGGCAGAATGAGGCTGAACAGCTGCAGATTTTTGTAAGGGGGGAAGTACTACTTAGCAGATTCCTTATGTCAATTCAGTGATTAGGAAATAAAACTAGGACAACAGAGTGTAAATATGTTCCTAATACACTACTGATATTTCAGTTGTTTTTGTTAATAACAAATAATTTTCCAATAGCAAGAAAGATTTACAAGTCCATTCGTAAGTCTTAATAGTTGCATAGCATAGCAAACAGACTCAATATACCGTACTTAATAAAATATCATGATTATTTTTAATAGAAAAATTGTGAAAGCTGTTAAATATTTTCTTAGACACATTTGACAGTTCTCAGTCTAGTTATGTGATGTGCAAATTCCCTGATGCAAGATAACTTCTTAAACAGTTCTTTAATTTTCCTAGGGGAAGAAACTGTGATTGCTGTACCACATGGGAGTCGCAGTGTGAGAATTACCCTAAAAGGACCAGCACACCTTGGTACGACTGAGCTGTTTTATGTATTTATTCATAGGCAGAAGATAAAAACAGAACATTGTATCTGAACTCAACCAAACATTGGGAATGTGGGTAAGATCATGACCTTGATTCCTCTTCCCATCTTTAATATCCAGCCTGGAGACAGTCCTACAGAACACTGGAAGTCCACTTAGTAAAATGAAATAGTATACGTACTGGTGGTTTCTAAATTTATTTAAACCAAGTAATTCTTATATAAGATGTCTAAAACACAATACACTCTTAAACGACTTGCAAACAATTATATCAAAATGACTTTCAAAGGGTTATGTGTGGGATTGATAGCACTTGTATAACCCAGCACCAGATTTCTGTTGAAGAGTCTGAGATAGTGTAAGTAGCCCAGGTGAAGTCACACTTGCTCAGTGAGCAGTGTTCGAGGAAAAGCAATCTAGGTAGAAATGAGGTAAAGTAAAAAAAAAAAAAAAACAACCACAAACAAAACATTAAATAAACCACACAAGTCCTGTTTCCTTGTAATACTTCTGGTCATTACATACCATCTCTGAGAAACCGTTCGCTATTCTGTTAGGCGTTTGTGTCCTAATATTTTCTATAAGGCTGATGGTAGTATCTCTGGTAATTTCTTTAACCGTAGGCTTACTTTTCATAATGAACTAATCATTTCAGTAAGTGGGACTACCATAACAAGTAATGAAATAAAACATTCATTTAACTTTTTGAGCAATTTTTTATCAGTAAAAGTGGAAGACTTAGTCTGAATCATAGAAATAAAAAGGACTTCTGCTCTGAGATATATGAATAGAAGACAGAAATGCATTGTATTTGAAAATTGTTCATTTATTTGTTTGTTTTGAAGAATAGATTTTCATTTTCTTTCAAAGAAAAAATTTAATAAGACTTGCACTTTAGAGTGGAAGTGAAGTGATAACAACTTCTAGATATAACACTGATATCAACAACATACAAAGCTGAACTGATCTTGAAACAAATAATATTTGTGAAAAACTTTTGCAAGGGATGTCTGAAGGAGTGATCCCGACCAGTTCAGGTCAGGACTCTTTGTCTGTCTTAAGTAGTTCTGCAGAAGGAAGTTGTTTCAGCTTTGTATGAGGAAAAAAGGACTAGATTCAGTGGCCCCTGGGGAATTTCTGGAAAGCTCCTGAGGAATGTAGCAGCAACTCAGTAACTAAGTACAGAGTGCTCCTGGTTTCCTACACAGGGTGGTTCCATAAAGAAGCTGTGGCTTGGCATTACCTTTCTTAACCAGTTCTCTAGCTGGATGAGAATTGTGAAACTTTCCTTTAACTACTTCCCCCAGCACATCTGCTTGCAAATCTGTGAGGATTTAGAAATTTGTTACCTAAAATTAAAATGACAGAGGTGAAAAACAAGGGAGCTGTTGTGGAGAGGGAAGTGGAAATTGCTTCTGGCTTCACAGACAGATCTTTAGGAACTGATGTTCTAGGGGATGTGCTTTGGGACAATTTGCTTGTCCACCGCTCTGACTGTACATATGTTTGTGGGTGTATGTTGCTTAACAGAAAATATCAAGTGATCTTTGGTCTGCAACTTCATTGACTTCTGTGGGGGTGTGCTGGTATAATTAAAGGCAGAACTTAAAAAATAATCACCTATAAATTACATGCTCCATTTGTCAGAGACATTCTTCCTGGCTTATAAGGAGTTGAATGTAACCGGCAGAGAGCAGGGACTTCTTACTGTAGAATTTTATACTGCCTCCTGTTACCAGTATATATTTGCTCTTCAAGTAAAGTCAGCAGCAATAGCAAGCGCTTAAAGAGCACTATGGAGTGTCTGGCACTTTTCCCTTTATCTTGTGTTCTTTTGTGCTTCATCCTGGGCTTTATGGTCTGCTCTTGTTCCAGGGAAACACAGCTGCTGGTTTAATAAAAAATGGAAATGTGGTTGGAGATGTAGCGCATAACAGATTTGAAACAAATAAATGCTCTGGACATTGTTTTACAATCAGCAGCTTAGTGTTGTAGGAAAGACTGCATTTCTTTGTAGCTAGTAAGAATAAGCATTTTGTTTGTGTGTACAAACACTTTAGGACAGGCAACAGATTCATCAGAGAGGAAAGGTGTTACTCTGGGTTTTTTACAAATAGGTCCCTCTTGTACTTCTGTCTGCTTGGGTTTTGTGAATGATTTGGTGGAAAATAACCAAATAATTAGTACAAAACCAGTTATGAGTAAAATGTTTCATTGTGTTGGTTTTGTTTTTGATTTGGACTGTATTATGGCTTTTCTAGCAGTTGTTTTAAGAGCATTAGAATCAAAAGAAAGACAGAAAGTTCCCTGAAATTAATCCTCCAGCAGAAGAAACAGGAAAACCAGAAGCTAATATTTTTACAAGTGGCTAATGCTAGATAACTGAGTTCATGAACTTAGGGAGGTTAAACTTTACAAAAGGAACTCAAACTCTTTTTCCCTTTTTGTCAGTTTCTTCCCCGCTTGCCGTGATTTGCGATACTTGCCAGTCCTTAGCTCTACATCTGTGCACTGCTTTGTCTTTTGACAGATGCTAAGAAGACAACGACATTACTTGCAGTTTGAAAAGAACACAGGTTTTATTTTGGGCCCCTGTATTGTGCTACCTACAAATGAATCACTCGGAAAAGAAAGAGCTTTTGGGGTAGCAATATGACTTGCTCCTTCTTGTACTGGGAGCAGGAGCTATTTCCCTGGGAATTCTTCCGTGCATCTCTCTACACAGTGAGGTATCTGCAGTGGGTACCCCATGCCACCCTGCCCTACTCCTGCCTGCCACTAAGAGTATGGGAAGCTTTTGTGGTGGGTCTTCCATCCACAGCTGGGCAAGGCATTTCCATGGGGAAAACATTATTTTTATCAAGGTAAGGGAAGTAACATGAAGACAGACTGTTGCCAGCAGTTATCTGGTTAGGCACAGAAACACAGGAACACTCAAGAGAATTCCCTGTCCTTATGACTCTGCACATCTGGAGTCCTAAAGACCCCTCAAGGAAATGTTTCCCTAATTTAGGATGGGGAAGCTTACTCCTGAAGTCAAAATCCTCTCCAGGATTACAGGACCCTGCAGAACAAAAAAAATGTTTGGTGAATTCTTTTCTAAACCTTGCCTATAAGCCAGTTGGTGAAATCAGTAAAGTAGGTTTCTTTGGGGGGAACTGCTCCCTAATAAGAATGATGATGTTACATACACCAGATGGTTGGTTTCACTCCATTTTAGAAGCCTGTGATGACAAGCACTAGGTACTACTGAGCAGGAATATATTGCATCAGAGGCTACCTGTTGTGCTGTGGAATAGCTCTTCACCTCCCTGTGTGACACACTTCTGGGAAAATCTGAGCAGCTGTTCTGAGCTTCACTGACGTGACCTCCAGAGATACAGGCCATCACTCTGTAGCTGGACCTTGCAAATAATCACATACTTTGGATTCAAATCTAGTGTAGCTCTAACATAAATGTATGATGTCAGCTCTTAGTAAGTTATCATGTTGTTGGTTGCTGAACAATAGAAAAACATTAAAATTATTTTTTATTAAGAAATTAACACAAAGACTGTAAAGTAATGCAATTCAGGTCACCAAATTAACTTCTTTAACATCTTTTTGCAACAGCCAGATGTCTTTCCTTGCAATGTTAAACGGTAATTTCAAAGGAGTCCTGTACTCCTGAGGATCCTATTGACTTTATGTGGAGTTGGAGGTACATGAGATCTGCTGATTTGACTCTTAGCAAAATGACAGAGTAACAGGCACCATGCATTAATACTTACTGTTAAGCAGTGTAGGTTTGGGGTCAAGGCTTACAGAAGCTTAATCCAAGAATGCTGAGTTCCGGATATTTAAAAAGTTATTTTGTAATGCAGTCAGGAAAGAAAACTTCCATAAAAGTGACAAACAAAACTATGTAGTAATCGTCTGAATTCTTGTGGCTTTTTCTGTGATTTTTTTTTTATATCTATTTGTTCCTAATGGAAACATGTTGGACAATGGGGCACTTTGATTCCCAGAGATTTATTTTTTTCTCTTGACAAAGTACATTTGATTCACCACTAGATTCCTACCCTACGATCAACATAAAGTCATTTCCTAGGAACATATCCTTCCTTAAACTTCCTTCCAGCCATGTATGTGATCTTTGTTATACCTATGAACATAGTGGAACCTAATCCTTAGAAACGTGGGATAATGTTGGTACCTTTTCAAGGAAGTTAATTTCTTTAGAATTTCTTCACTCTCTTTGGTGGGGATGCTCCAGAATGCATATGTATTTTAAAAGAGCTTAAGGAAGAAAGCATTGGTGGGCTGCAGCATTCAGAGTATGTTTTCAGTGCAGGTAAAACCAGATGCTCTTAACCTAAATCATCTAGCCTGAATTAGGTAACTCTGTTTAAAGTACCAAAAAAGGCAAGGTAGCTGGAGAAAGAGGGTATTTATAGCTCATCAAAAGGTTCCTTTTAGGTAGCCTTGAGCTCATCTGAGATTCATGCCTTTTTCACCCAGTGCTCTGATAAATTGTAACCAGTCATGCATCTTGCTGGGCCTGTGCGCTGTATTGTACAGAGCCCCGCATTCTACCTTCATCATGAGTATCTTCCTTTCGCTTTGTCCACTTACAGTTCTGTCAGTTTTCTGGAAGTGGCTCAATCCTAAAATGCTTCAACTGTCTTCTGGAGGTTGTTGGCTGTTAGTTTAATCTGTTTCCAAGGCGTGCAGAACAGCTCAAAAGGGGTTTTCATCACCACCTGTTCTGAGAAAGGGACATCCCTCTGGCAGTGCTGCAGCTGCCTGCCTCCTGGCCGTGCTTTTTGTTCATGTGAGAGATATTCAAAGTCGAGTTAATGACCTTTGGAATGGGTAAAGTGATGCAGGTATGGGGTGAGCGTTTGGTGAGTTTGACACCATTCACGCTTTCTGAAGACTGCTGAAATTTCTAGGCTTTTGGGTTGCATGGAAGTACGAGTTATTTTTCTGTGTATTGTTTCTATCTGTTTGAGTTTCTTTCAGCTTGT